GGGTTCTTGTTACGTTCTAATCAATAAGTCCTGAGTGGGACTTGAGAATCCTGCATTTTTAGTCCGTTTCCAGAGCTCTTGAGTGGTGGATTCCGTGGGTGGTGTAAACTGTTAACGCACAAGGCTGCTAACTGAAAAGTTGGCAATTTGATTCTACCCATAAGCACCTCAGAAGAAAGGTCTGGCAACCTACTTACCCCCAAACCAGTACAGTTCTACTCTGACACGCATAGGGTCACCATGAGTTGGAATTGACTTCATGACACCTGACATTAATAATCTCCCGATGGTGCTCATGCAGAACCCGAGTGAGGTTCTACATTTATTTCCCAATTCTAATAGGAAAGTTATGCCTTTGAGGCTCAGGGCTGTGTAAATATGCTGACTTTATGTAGATTAACCACATATATTGACATATGGCAGAAATGGCATGTCTCTTTCATGTACAAGCCATTATCTGATGTTGCTTTAGGTGTGGGAGGATCAGTGTACGTTGTGTATTTCTTATAGGGCTAACCCTATTGGCAGCATTTAGCTGAGCAATTCTAATAATCGGTTTAGTAACCTGCCTTTGGACAAAGCAGTTTGTAATTTTCTTTATCTTATGGAGTGGAGGTTTGTATGTTGTTGTTGTTGTTTTTTCCTAAGCTTTTAATGTTATATGAGCTTAGTCAGATTTAAAATCATAGGGTAGACAGAACTGTCTGTGTTACCAAATTAGTACCTTCCTTTTCAGCTTATTAATGCCTGCTTTGTAATTACACGTAAGAATAGCCCATTAAAATGATACTTTGTAGCTGACTGTATCAGAACTATGAACATTGTGGTCTTAAGTGTAATTATCTGTTGGTGGTTTTGTTTCATGTTAAATTGGAGTTACGTAAACCTGGGTTCAAATTGTGAACCTACTAGCTGTGGGCTCATGTATACATTCTTGAATACCTTCAAACCTCAGTTTTCTCTGAGTGAAAAAGGGCCGACTCAGTCTAGGGGGCTTCAAAAAGTTCATGGAAAAATGGAATCAAAAGATAATGTAATTTCCCCGTGAACCTGTTGATGCCCATCATACAGAGTTTTGTTGTTGTTGTTAAGTGCCATCCAGTCACTTTCAGCTCATAGTGACCTTTGTATTGGGTTTCCCAGGCTGTAAATCTTTTGCAGAAACAGAAAGCTTTCATCTTTCTCCCACAGAATGGCTAGTGGGCTCAACCTTCCGATCTTGTGGTTCACAGTCCAGTGCTTATTGTACAGAGCCACCATGCTAACCTTGTTGTTGTTAAGTGCCATCGAGTTGATTCTGACCCATAGCGACCCTGTATAGGGTTTCCAAGGAGCAGCTAACCTAGTGTGTGTTAAAGGTGTCCTGGTTGCGCAGTACATTAAGCATTGGGTTGCAAACCCAAAGGTTGCCATTTAAACCTCCCAGCCCTTTTGAAGGAGAAATCTGTGGCAGTCTGCATCTGTAAAGATGACAACTCTAGAAACCCTATGGAGCAATTCTATTCAATCATATATGGCCGCTCAGTGTGTGTAAAGTACACATTGCATTTTGCATGAAGGAAAGGGGTCAGACCTGGAGTCTGGCATCAGCTTACAGTCCTGTCTCTAACTACTATTAGCGATGTAAACTTTCTGGTCTCAGTTTCCCTGTTTGTCAAAGAGGACCATCATAGCTCATGGGGCTGTGAGCGTTATATGGGAGTACTTGGCACAGTACCCTGCTAGATGTTAGTGACTGTAATGACTACCTGCCTTTTCAAGTTCTCATAACCCTTTTGCCCCCAATTTCCGTGTGTGTTAAGGCTCCCGAGCTGTAGATGATTATTTCAACCCAGTCTGTCCATGCTGAAGATGTAGAATCCCAAGGGTGTTATTAAGCCGTGGACCATCCAGCTACACTGAGTCCTCCTGGCTCTGAACATGCCGTTCCCTCTACCTGTAGTGTCTATCCACCCAAGTTAGTCATCCCTTAGCACCGAGCTCCCTCCACCCAGGCTGCCCCTCTCCAACTAACAACTTCTGTGTGTGTTATTAATTTACTGTGTATTTACACTGTTCCAGCCCCAGTAGTGCTGTATCTTTTTATCCTAAGAACCCAGAACATTGCACACGGTAAATATTTCGTGAAGGAACTGGTGGTGCAGTGCTTAAGTGCTTGGCTGCTAGTTGAAAGGTCAGTGGTTTGAACTCACTAGCAGCTCCATGGGAGAAAGATGTAACAGTTTGCTTCTATTAAAGATGTGTAGCCTTGGAAACCCTGTGAGGCAGTTCTGCACTGCCCTGTGTAGGATCAATATGAGTCAAATGAACCTAATAGCAATGGGTTCGTTAGTTTTTAGTGCTCTATTAAGTTCTGTTGTTGTTGTTGCTAAGTGTTGTCAAGTTGGTTCCGACTCATAGTGACCCTGCATAGGGTTTCTGAGAACTGACTGGTGGGTTTGAACTGCCAACTTGGTGGTTCAAACCGACCTAATGGTCCAATGCTTTATCCTACAACACTACTCTAAGACTCTAAGATCTCTCTCTATGGGATCAAACTGGTAATCCAGTGGTTAATTCTGACTCACAGTAACCTTGTAGGGCAGAGTAGACTAACATCACAGGGTTACCAAGACTGCAAATCTTTATGGAAGTACACTCGCTTAGCTTCCATGGAGGAGCTGGTGGCTTTGAACCTCTGACCGTAATGCACTGTGTTACCAGCTTAATGCACTGTGCTACGAGGGCCCCTGAAATTGGCAACAGAATCTCGAAAGGATTAGATACGAACCTTCTACTATTGAGGGAGGAGTAACTCAGAAACCAGGGGTAGGAACGGTTGCACAACTTGAAGAATGTCAATGTCAATGAATTGTACATGTAGAAGTGAGAATTGGTTTGTTTTTGCTATGTAGTTTGTCAACAATACAAACAATATAACAGATTATTAAAAACAAGAAACATCCATGAATTACAGTGTAACATTGACCATGGAGATGGTGCCAGACAAGGCAGTTTTCCTTTTGTTGTACATGGGGGTCACTGCGTTGGAGCCAGCTGAGCTAACAAGAATTCAGCATTCTTGTATTGTATTTTGTTGTTGTTATTAAGTGTCGTGGAGTTGGTTCCGACTCATAGCGACCCTGTACAGGGTTTCTGAGGCTGTAAATCTTTATGGGAGCAGAAAGCCTCATCTTTCTCCCACGGAACAGCTGGTAGTTTTGAATATAAGTTGCCTCATTTAATTCTGACTATGGTCTTCTGAGTTTAATAAAGGAGGATATAGATTATCGAAGGCTCCGTAGCTAAACCACAGAATGAAGGTCATCTATCTTTGAAACTCACGTTTTTACCACTGCTTCAAATTGCTTCCTACGTGGTCCTCACAATTTATTACGCATGCCAACCTGAAACAGAAATTGATGGCACTCTCTTCATTTGCAAAGTGCTTGGTCTGGTTCATTGAATTAACACATACTGTGTGGCACTGTGGAGTATGTGCTGTGGGCTAAAGCACTGGACTTCAGGGTTAATTGGAGCCACAAGGTTGGCAGTTCAAACTCATCAGCCACTCCTTGGAAACCCTGTACAGGTTCTTGGTGAGTCAGAACTGACACAGTGGCTGCTACAGTGGGCTCAAACTTAACAATTGTGTGGATGGCGCAGGGCTGAGCAGCTTTGTTGTATTGTCATAGGGTCACTATGTGTGGGAATTGACTTGAAGACACCTAACCGCAGCAACATGGGAGTGTGATTGGTCAGGTGCTCCCCAAGGCCAAGCTTCTGAACTCCCAATTTTCAAGGCCTAGGCATCCCAGAAACAGTCTTTTGTATAGTTCTATGGTGTGGCACAAGGAGCTCTGGTACTGTAGTGGTTACAAATCGGTTTGCTAGCCTCAGGGTCCACAGTTTCAAACTACCAGCTGTTCCATGGGAGAAAGATGAGGCTTTCTGCTCCCGTAAAGATTTACAACCTCGGTAACCCTGTACAGGGTCACTAGAGTTGGAACCAACTCCACAGCACATAACAACAACAACAACATGGTGTGGCACTGTGGGCTAGTGAGCCAGACTGCAAAGTCATTTGAACTTCAAGGTCGGTGGTTCAAACTCACCAGCTGCTCTTTGGAAACCCACCCTATACAGGGTTGCTCTGGGTCGGAATTGACTTGACGGCCCTTAACAACAATTACATATAGTTCAGAAACTTACACGTTTGCTTATTCGACACCTCCCCTCCAAAATGGTAAAGAGAGAAAGAAACAGATGGCAGGAGTCTTTCTTGCTCTTTTATCTGCTAAGTTTATGGGAAACTTGGAGAGAAGACACAATTGTGCTGACTAGGCGTTCCGGAACACCCCCTGAGCTGGCTCTGAGTTGCACCAACTGTTCAAGTCTTATCTCCCCATGATGTACAGACAGACATCCAGTTATCAAGGATGTAGAACGTTGTGTTTTTGTTTTTTCCTTCCTTCTCACCTTTTTATTTCTGGGTAACATTATAGTGGTCCAATTTACCTGACTAGTGGCCCAATTTACCTGACTAGTGGCCCAATTTACCTGACTCACTACTAACAGTTCATTTCCAGCTGGTTTAGTCTGTGTGTGTGTATGGAAAGCTCTAGAGAAATAAAAGCTTCTCTAAATCTTCCTTTCTATAATATTGCTTGAACACATTCCATCCATCTACCTAGGTACTTAATCATTTCCTATAACTAAAAGACGTATTTACTCCAGTTCTCTAGTTCTCCTTTGCGTGGGAGAGAGGAAGGGAAAGAAAGCTGTTAGAATGGTACCAATCCAGACGGCTTGCTTTTTTTTTTTAATTCACAAGTGGAGCTTTTCAAAGTGCTTGGCTTCCGTCCCTGCTGTATGGATGTGTCACTGTGTGAGATGACAACGGGATTTGCTGGGAATGTGGGCCACTATTGTACCCGCCTTACGTAACCACGTGGAGTGATAGAAATGGGTGAGAAGGCTGGGACGTAGACACTGATCTGGCTGATGAATCCCGAGAGACCATGAAGACTGCTCAAGTCCTGCATCGGATGTGGAGCCAGGCTGTTAGAAAGTTGGGGATTTTGAAAGGCCATGTGAGTCCCCTTGCAAGATCACCCCCCTTTTCTTTCCCAATCTTCTTTTGTGGGAAGGGAGGGGGAGCAAAAACCTGCACAGAAAATTCCTCTTTCCTTGGATATATTTGTGCTCCTGGCAGCTTTCAGCAACCAGTTGTGAAATGCAGATCGGAGTCAATGGTGTGCTTTTAAAAAACTTTGTTCTTATTTTTAGCAGTTTCACATGAAATGGATCTGGTCCCTCTTACACTTGACTCCCAGAGAATTTGCAAACTAAGTTTTGCTTTCTGAACTTTAAATACAGCCTTGTATCAGATGTTTGTTTGTGTATGAATTTTTTATTTTTGCTTTTTTATACTGAAGAAATCTGTAAACCTATTGCCATGTCTATGTATCTAAATTCAGGAAAAATGTTTTTCATGTGGCCTCCCTCCCATCCCCTCACCCTGTTTCCTAACCTGAGGATGAGATTTTTTGCTCCGACAAAGAATTTAAAACCTCAGAGACCCTATACAGGGTGGCTGTGAGTCAGAACCACCTCTACGGCACTTAACAACAGCAATAATCGGAGCTTAGTACTATAATGTGTTTAAGTGTTTACTTTTGCAGCTTGGGGGCTTAATCAAGCATGTCCCTCACGGTCAACTTTTGATTCATCCCTAGCTGTTGGTATAAACTAGCCTCCATCACAGGGAAGCAGCAGCTTGTGGGCAAAGTGCCTAAAAGTTGCTGTTGAAGGAGATTTAGGGCAACACAGACTTTGAATATCTGCCTTCTCATAGATTTTTAACAAGCTTCCAGATTCTTTTTTTTGGGGGGGTGGGGCGTGAAATTTTGTTATTGTTGATGTTATTTTAGCTGCCATACTCTATATAAAACAAACAATTTTACCTATGTGGCCAAGACTTTGCAAAGGAAAAAGACATAAGAGGTAGAGAATTTTTCTTTTTAATAAGACTAGCAAATCCCTCTGTGTTGGTACCTTTCTCTTCTTTCTGTACACAAATACCTTAACTGTTAACACAAAGCTTTTTATGTATGGGAGAAAACCAGCTCACTTTTAACTTTCCATGTCATCTAGGAATGGCTTGTTAGAATCATGTCAGGGTTGCCATTAACACTGCTTACTGAAAAGTGGAAGTGATAAGGAGGTGATAGGTGATTAAAGAAAGGCATGTTGTTAGTGATCTCCCTGAGGATGCCATATTGAACCTTGTGTTGACAAGATGTCTTGTCTTCTGCTCCCAGCTGTTTTCTCACATCTATCCTGCATCTCTGCTTCTACCTTCCATGCATGTACCTATCAAACTGTTGATTCCGACCACCGGAGTCCTCGCCTTAAATTCTCTCTCATTTCCTCTACTTTTTCACTTGCAAAATCTGAACTACATTAAATTTGGTACCTGGTCCTTAGCCAGGAATCAGTACCTCTTGTTTACACACTCAGCCTTAATGTGCCGCCCCTCCCCCCTTACAAAAAATTTGTATTTTAGTTTTTGATTTATGGAAAAAGTTTGCAGAAAGTACAAAGAGTTCCTGTGTGATCTCCTCTCCCACAAGCACAGTGTCTCCTGCATGTTGCAATTTGTGAACCAATATGGATACACTATTATTGTTTGTTAATGGATTGACACAGTAGCCTTCAACAATGGGCTCAAACATAACAGCTATTGTGAGGATGGCAGAGGACCAGACAGTGTTTCATTTATTATATATGTGATCAGAACCATTTTGGTTTTGACTACACCTAACAACAGTTGTTAACTAACGTTTACAGTTTACTTTTTTTTTAAACAAGCAGAAATTTATTCTATCTCAGTTTAGGAGACTAGAAGTCCAAATTCAGAGAGCTAGCTCTAGGGGAAGGCTTTCTCTCTGTGTTGTCTCTGTTGTCTCCTTTCAACATCTGTGGGCTGGTGTTGCTTGGAGGTCTACACGTGTCTTGGCATCAATCTTCCCCTAGGTCTAGGAGGTTCTCAGCACACGGACCCAAGGGCCAAAGGATGCTCTTCGCTTCTGGCTTTTCTTTCTTTGAGGTACTGAGGCCCTTCCTTCTCTGCTGGCTTCTCTATCCTTTTATCTCTCATAAGATAGAAGATAGTGGAGACCACACCCCAGAGAAGTCCCCTTACATCAGATCCTAGCTGTGACCTAGTAAGGGTGGTGACTTATGTATGGGTGGTGCATCCCACATTAATTCTGCCTCATTAGCATACCAAACTCAGCAGAATCCTCTTTAACAAGACCGAGCTCTGGTAGCGTAGTGGTTACGAATCGGGCTGCGAACCTTAAGGTCAGCGGTTCGAAACTACCAGCCGCTCCGCGGGAGAAAGATGAGGCTTTCTACTTCCGTAAAGATTTACACCCTTGGAAACCCTGTACAGGGTCGCTATGGGTCGGAACCGACTCAACGGCACTTAACAACAATAACAATCCTGTCTCATTAACCACAGGCAGAGGATAGGGTTTACGACACATCACAAAACATGCTACATTTTGATAGTTACAGCAGACTACAAAATGGAGGACAATCACACATTACTGGGAACCGTGGGTTAGCCAAATTGACACACATTTGTGTATGTGTTGTGGGGGAGGGAATGACACAATTTAATCCATGACAAGTCTGTACATGTACAGACTTGATCCATGTACAGTTTACTTTTGAGTTTACTTTTTGTGTTGTACAGTTCTATAGGTTTTGACAAATGTAGAATGTCATGTGTCCACCATTACAGTATTGCGCAGAAAAGTTTCACTGCCCTAAAAATACCCCGTGCTCCGGCTGTTCATGTGTCTCCTCCCTCCCCAGACCACCTGGCAACCATTGATCTTTTCACTGTCTCTGTATAGTTTTGCCTTCTCCAGAATGTTATAGTGAGAATCATATATTATATAACTCTTTTTTGGATTGGCTTCTTTCACTTAGCATGCACATTTCAGATGCTCCCATATGGTTTCTTGGCTTGATAGCTCATTTCTTTTTATCAAGATAAAATATCCCATTATATGTATGTACCACAATTGGTTAAATATCTAGTCACCTATTGAAGGGCATCTTGGTTGCTACTAATTTTTGGAAATTAGGAATAAAGCTGGTACCTCCTTTATTATTATTTTTTTAAATTATGAAATGTTTGGGTGCATATAAAGGAATTGCAAATCTAAATCATGAAGCATAATAATAATAAACACATATTCAGCAGCTCAAGTACCCTCATAGACCCTCACCAAGACCCGACACAAAATCCTTTTTGTTCTTCCTGGCTATTCTCCCTCCTCTCCAGGGACTCATCCATCTGGGTTTTTGTGTTTCTCATTCCCCTGCTTTTGTTTATAGATTTATTTATAGGTAATAAGGGGGCTTCGCAAAGTTGGTACATATATATAATGGGTTAATGCGCCAGACTGCAAAGCCATTTGAACTGCGAGGTCGGTAGTTCAAGCTCACCAGCTGTTCCTCGGAAACCCTGTATAGGGTCGCTATGGGTTGGAACCGACTTGTTGGCACTTAACAACAACATTGCCAGTAACAGAAGCCATTGATGTGTGTTTATGTAGGCATTTGAATCATTTGCACCCAGCAGTGATGATGGAGAAATGTCCGAAGGAATCCCATAGGTTACCCATGTGGACACACTGTATGATAAAGCTGAGGATGCCTTTAGACAAACAAATGCAGACAACTTTTATAGGAGATCACCTCTGATGGAAAGGAGAGGGAAATACTAAAAACAAACAAAAAAACCCATTTGAAATTAGATGCTTTTAAAAAGGATATTATGATGGCAATGTTTTGGAGTAGTCATAATGAAAAGGGTCACCACTTAATATTTAATGATTTTTAGGCTTTATTTCTTCCTGTAGAGTTCCTGAATTTTCTGGTATTAGGACTGCCTTCTCATTAAAGGAGAATGTTGGAAAATAGGTAGCTTGATAGTTCTGAAAAGTCTCAAGTCTTTTTAGCTTATAGAAAATGTGAATTGGACATTTTGTGTGGTAGTTCTATGTAGACCCTAAGACTGCGTTGTTGTGGTTTTTAATCATTTTGCTTCTGCTTGCTTTGAAACAGGCCCACGGCATGGAAGAACTGATATGGGAGCAGTACACTGTGACCCTACAGAAGGTGAGAGCTGCACATTTGGTGTGAAACGCAGTTGTGTTCTCGATTTGCCATGCAATATTTATGCTTCCTCAGGTGGATAATACACACCAGGTAGTAGTAGTTGTTGTTGTTGTTATGTGCTGTGGAGTCAGTTCCGACTTACAGCAACCCTATACAGGGTTTCTGAGGCTGTAAATCTTTACGGGAGCAGAAAGCCTCATCTTTCTCCCACGGAACAACCAGTAGTTTTGAACTGCTAACCATGAGATTAGCAGCCCAATTCATAACCACTACACTACTAGATTATGTATGTGTGTATATATATGTGTGTGTATGCATATATGTATATATGTGTATGTATATATATGTATATATGTGTGTGTATATATATGTGTGTGTATGTATATATGTGTATATGTATATATATATGTATGTGTGTGTGTGTGTGTGTATATATATATATGTATATCCTGGTGTGGTGCTGTGGGCTAAAGCATCAGACTGCAAAGTTGTTTGAACTGCAAGGTCGGTGGTTCAAGCTCACCAGCTACTCCTTGGAAACCCTATACAGGGTCGCTATGGGTCAGAATTGACTCGACGGCACTTAACAACAGGAACATGTATGTGTGTATGTATGTATGTATGTCTGGTGGGGGGTTAATGCATTAGACTGCAAAGTCAGTTTGAACTGCAAGGTTGGTGGTTCAAGCTCACCAGCCGCCTCTTCGAAATCCTATACAGGGTAAGGTCACTATGAGTACGAACCGACTCGATTACACTTAACAACAACTTATACAAAATCCTATACAAAATCCCTGTGTAGGGTTTCTGAGGCTATAAATCTTCACGCTCATTCAATAGCGCCATCAGCGCTCCCATATACATACACACCCATACATAAATGTATACACACACATATATAACAGAGAGGTTTGTATCAATGAAATGGCTCACACAGTAGAGATGGGCAAGTTCGAAGTTCACGGGTCAGATGTCAGATTGAAGGCTTCTCCTCACTCAAGTAGCTGCAGGAGCTGACGAAGCCAGGGTTGGCAGGTTGGACAGTAGGCTTCTGGCTACAGAGGAGAATATATGCAAGGTCTGCATTTATAAATGCAAGGCAGCTGCTGATAACTCCCAAATCGGCAGGCTCAGGCTACTGGCTCAAGTCCAAAGAACTAGAGGTCAGATGACAAGCCAGATGCTGAATCCAGACCCAGCAGAAAACCAAGCACATTTTGCCTGAGTGTCCAATATATTGGAAGCAGGAGGCCACACCCCTGAGGAAACATCCTTTCAATTGACTGCTCATAATAGATCACATCATGGGGGATGATTACGTTTTAATTGCGAAACCATGAGAATCATGGCCCAGTCAAGTGACACAAAACCTCAACTATCAATCACACTCTGAGCTCTGAGTCCAAGTTACAAATTTTAAAGAAACATTGTCTTTCTAAGGAATCCTGGGTTTTACGAGTTGGGCTACTCAATGCAAGGTTGGTGGTTCAAAACCACCAGCTGCTCTGGGGGAAGAAAGATGAGTCTGTCAGCTCCTGTGAAGATTTGTGGTCTTGGAAACCTTATGGTGCAGTTCTCTTTTGTCCTATAGGGGTCACTGTGGGTCAGAATCAACTTGATGGCAGTGGAGTTTTAGCTGCCTTCCTGACTCCCCATCAACATGGCATTTGTTCCTTGAGTTGTGGATTCCCAACTGGACAAATGCAACAGATTTTGAGTCCTGATGTAGAAGATGGGAGTCTCTGGGTGATCCAATTGGTAACGTGCTCAACTGGTAACTGAAAGGTTGGTGGTTTGAGTCCACCGAAAGGTTGAAAAACTAGCCATTGAAAACCCTGTGTTGTACGGTTCTGCTCTGACACACATGGGGTGCCGTGAGTTGAAGTTGGCACAACAGTGGTAGCAGATAGAGAGGGTGGAGATGTCTTTTCATATAACCAGGCACCCAGTGATATTACTGTCAAATTCAAAGTCATATGAGTAATGGACAGTAGTCCAACTTCTCTTGAGTATGTAATTGTTATGGTCAACATAATGAAACCCCCATGTGTTCTCTTCATTTATATTCACTGTGTAGACTTTTACACAGTCAAATTCTGATTTGAGATTACATCGTCACATATAGCCATATCATTGCTATGTGAGACGAAGTTGTTTTTAAAAACTGAAACGAATTACAATGATATATTATTTGGGTCCACTGTCATACAGTTCTAGGCCCATTCTGGATATAAATGTGTCTTTTTTTTTCTTCTTCTTCTTCTTCTTGTAGTTAAGTGCTGTTGAGTCAGTTCCAACTCAGAGTGACACTGTATATAGTTTCCAAGGATGAAAATCTTTGTGGGAACAGAAGACCTCACCTCTCTCCTGCAGAGGAGCTGGTGGACTCAGAACATCGACCTTATGGTTCACAGTCCATCTTGTCTTATAGAAGCATATAGAAAAGTGTTAAATGTTTTACTTTTTCATAACCTTTTAAAATTCATCTTATGCTCAGATTTTATCTGACTTTATTTATTTCCTTCCCCGGCTTGGATTTTGTCTTTAAAACCGATTGACTTTTCATCCATTTACTTCTCTCCTCCAAGCCCCTGGCAACTCTCTTAGTTTGAGACAAGGTACAGTGGTTAGTTGATGTACATGTTAAAAATTTTTTAAAAATTTAAAAATTCACCAAAATAAAAATAAATACATTAGCTACTCTTACCTAATCTTGCTTGGAGTTAAAGCCGCACTTTGGAAAACAGTTTGAGTCACAGATTCAGTTGTGGACAGAAATTGTCCAACTTAGACTAACATGTTGTCTGGAGGGACCAGTCAATAGAGAAGAACATAATGTTTGGTAAAGTGGGTAAAGAGAGCCAGTGAAAAAGAAGACTCAACGAGATGGGTTGACACAGTGGCAGCAATGCTGGGCTCGGGCAGAACAGCAGTTGTAAGGATGGCACAAAACTGGGCGGGATTTAGTTCCGTTGTATATAGGGTTGCTATGAGTTGGAACTGACTTGATGACACCTAACAACAATAATAGGCCAGCATGGTGCAAAAAGGTGTCTTTTCTGCTTCAAATTGTACATTCCTATTAAGGAGCTCTGGTAGCATAGTGGTTTTGAATTGGGCTGTGAACCTCAAGGTCAGCAGTTGGAGACTACCAGCTGTTCTGCAGAAGAAAGAGGAGGTTTTCTGCTTCCATAAAGATTTACAGCCTCGGAAACCCTGTACTGGGTTGCTGTGAGTCGGAACTGACTCTACCGCACATAACAACAACAACATTTGGACAGTAGATGCTAGTTCCTGTCCCCTGCCAGCTTCCATTGATAACTACAGTCTAGTCTGTTGAGTTTTCCACCTTTCACAAGGTTATTTCATTTAGATAGGAATTCCTTTATACACCTGTCAGCTCACACTGTGTTTATGCTGTACTTTGTTTCTCAGTAGTTTCTGTGAGCCGCCTCTTTGTGAGACTCTTGTTGTTGGTTTGACTTTTATTAAATGCCTGTAAGAAATATTGAAAGGAGCTCTGGTAGCGTAGTGGTTACGAATCGGGCTGCGAACCTTAAGGTCAGCGGTTCGAAACTACCAGCCGCTCCGCGGGAGAAAGATGAGGCTTTCTACTCCCGTAAGGATTTACACCCTCGGAAACCCTGTACAGGGTCGCTATGGGTCGGAACCGACTCGAAGGCACTTAACAACAACAACAATCTGTGAATGATTTGGAAACTGGGAGAATTTACAATACTGAGTACAAGTTTTCCGACTGCTATCCTGGTAGCGTAGTGGTTACGAATCGGGCTGCGAACCTTAAGGTCAGCGGTTCGAAACTACCAGCCGCTCCGCGGGAGAAAGATGAGGCTTTCTACTCCCGTAAGGATTTACACCCTCGGAAACCCTGTACAGGGTCGCTATGGGTCGGAACCGACTCGAAGCACTTAACAACAACAACAACAAAGAAATATTGAAAGCCTCATACAGGAACATGAAAACATTTTTTCTCCTAACCCCAATGAATAGGATTCCAAAAGAGGATTTGGGATTGCAGTATCTGGAGGCAGAGACAACCCCCACTTTGAGAATGGAGAAACGTCCATCGTCATCTCTGATGTGCTCCCAGGTGGACCTGCCGACGGTCTGCTCCAGTAAGTGACCTTCTCTCCCCAGCCCCCAAAAGCCCCCCTAGATGGTGTGCATGTTACAAAATTTAAAAACAACCCCCTCCCCCCAAAAAAACAACAAAGAAAAAAAAGCATTTTTGTAACATTTTAAAAGTCTTAAAGCAAGAGTTCAGACTATATCAAGCCATGTTTTAACAATCCCTAAACCTTTGGGAACATCTAAACAATAACTTTTGGGGGCCTGGGTGTGGGAATGAAAATTGTCTCCATGTAAAGATGGTTATAAACATGTCTACTGGTTTTAGGAATGTTCTGGACATACAAAACTGGCACGTTTTTCCCTCCTGCCCCAAATGCCTACTTAACACTTTGTATTTGTTTAAAGTTCTATTCTTTAAGAATTTAAGGAGACTCTATCTGTGAATGATTTGGAAACTGGGAGAATTTACGATACTGAGTACAAGTTTTCCGACTGCTATCCTCATGTTCTGAAGAGATCACGCCACTTTCAAAGATGCATGTGTGGCGTCCCTTCAGGATAATTTCTCAGGGCAGACTCTAAAGTGAATTAAATATATTAGTAGACGCCTTGGCTGGGCAGCTCAGGGGTTTAGATTCTGTTGGTATTTAAAATCTCTATTGATTGATTCAAAGCGAGTTTTCTTTTATAAATAGCAATGCAGAGCTTGTAAATAGTTTTGGGGATAAGCTAAAGTAATAGTTATAGTTCTGTAATCTCAAAATCTCTGAGTCAGACTCTAGACCTCTTCCCCTTTTAAAAAGCAATTTGGGGAGGATTTGTAGGCTTTCTGAAGGCTATAGTGGATAAAGAGAGCTTGATGCAGAAGTTCTTTTTTAGTGCCCAGACCTCAGCTCAGCACCCTCAGGACCTCCTGAAGTTTGGGGAGGGCAGTCACCTCCTTCCTTCCAGTGCTTTCCCGTGGGCACTGTTAAATGGGCCCCTGAATTCTATCCTTTTAGGTATTTTGGATCAATATGTTACTTCAGTTTGTTCCTTAACAAATGATTTTAAAAGACTAGATGAGTGTTTTCCATGACCCATTTTTATTTTTTGTTTGCAGAGAAAATGACAGGGTTGTCATGGTCAACAACACCCCCATGGAGAACGTGCTCCATTCCTTTGCTGTTCAGCAGCTGAAAAAGAGTGGCAAGATTGCTACTATGGTAAGTACCAGGTTGCTTCCAGTTTACCACAATAGCATTTTCTTTTTATGTCCAGAAGAAAATGACCTCTTACTTTTAAGTATTTGACAGAATTACACAATCTAGGGGCCATTTCTTATATCCTCAGTACTTTTGGAAATTGGTGTTACAGATGATACAAAGATATAAATCCATTATTCCGCTGTCTTTTCAACAGAAGCCTTGGTAGCACAGAGGTTAAGAACTCTTCAATATTAACAAGAAGGTCAGTGGTTCCCACTAGCAGTTTTGTGGAGAAAAGATATGGCAACTGGCTTATGTGAAGATGACAGACACCCTCTGGGGCAGTTCTCTTCTGTCTTGTTGGGTTAGACTATGAATTAGAATTAACATGATGGCAATACATTTGGTTTGGGTTTGGCCTTTTCAACTGGTCCTTCTCCTAACTTCCTGAGACCAGTAATTCTCTCATCTGAGTTACTCTGCTTTAGAAAACAGGTTAGGTCATTATTCCCTAAGAGCATTAAATAGATAACACAGGACTAATTTAGGGGGAAAAACTAGTAAAACATTTTAATTTAGCAAAAAATATAGTAGTTAAAGTTTTTAAAGGCCCGACCAAGATCTGTTCTGTTCCCTGGAGTTTCTTAGAAGACTGTGGTAGTCCATGGCATTAATTCATTCACTCACTGATTCACTCAGCAAACATTGATTGAAGATCAACTATGAGCCAGTAGCCACTGGGCCCTGGAGCCAATATGTGTGTGATATAAAGTGGATACTTCTGGGGAACAGGTGGACACACAAAATGAGGACTTTAGGGTGTACTGGGAATGTGATTTGTAATTTCTTTTCAATTTTTTATTACAACAAATTTTTTTAAAAAGGATGGAAAGCTTAGTTACCTATCTTCTACACTGTTCACATCTTGTCCAGTTGACTTGATCTCTCTCTCTCTGTGTACATAAGCACTCATGCATTTTTGATGACCTATTTGAAGGAGAGCTGCAGATATCATGACAATTCAACCCGGCATATTTCAGCATTATTGTTGTTGTTAAGTGCTGTCGAGTTGGTTCCAACGTACAGTGCCCCTGTTTAGGATTTCTAAGGAGTGGCTGGTTACTTGAACGGCCAACCTTGCAGCTCAAACCAACCTAGTGGTCCAGTGCTTACTTTTGGTGCCACACCAACATGCATCTCCTAAAATAAGGGTTTTCTCCTACATGACTTTAACAATATGATTATATCTAAAAACATTTACAGTAACTCCACAATAGCATGTAATTCAGTCCATATCCTACAACGTCTTTGGTAGACTTTTCTTCTCAATCCAGGATCCAATTCAGGTTCAATTTGGTTATTATGTTCAAATGTGGTTTTGTCTGGATTTAGTGCTTTTTAATCTGGAAGGATCCTTCCTTTATCTTATCCAAGCCCCTCCTTTTTCCTATTATTTATTTTTGTTGTTGGTAGGCATTCTTCACTTTGTTGTTGTTAAGTGCCATGGAGTAGGTTTTGATTCTGTATAGGGTTTCTAGGGAGTAACTGGTGTGTTTGAAACATTGACCAGGACTCCATGCTAGTTAAATTAAACTGTTGTATGGTTTTAAGACTGCTTTAGGGAATATATTTGTTTTAAGATATAAAGTTTATCTCAGGGCGCTAGTTTCAGTGGTTCATCCAACCTCCATGACTCTATCCTTTTAAAATGACATAGGCTTCTCGAAGAGCCTAGCCAATAGTATATGGAATGTGTCTCACGTTTGGATTTCCACTTATTTTCTATAACTGAATGATGGGCCCTTTGAGAGTTGGAGGTGCAGTACTGTTAGCATAGTGTGAGGTATTATCCTTGGAGCTTTGCCCTCATTGTCGGACTTTGTTCTCAGCCCTATGAGGTGTGGACTTCATTATCCCTGTTTTCCAGGTGAGACTGAGGCTCAGTGAGGGAGTAGTGAGTTGGCAAGCAGACACTGTTTTACTGAAGCTACACCCAGGCCTCCTAACCACCACAGTCTGTACTGTGTTGTGATGTCCTGCATCTTTATTGTGTTTGTTTTGGTAACAGGTGGTGAAGAGGCCCCGGAAGGTCCAGCTGGCCCCGCTGAGGAGCAGCCCTCCCATGGATCACAACGACAGGGCTTTTGAGGTGATGGACGAGTTTGACGGCAGAAGCATCCGCAGCGGGTACAGTGAGCGGAGCTGGCGTGAGCGAAGCGGCAGCTGGGATGACAGTCCTAATAGGGGGCGCCCTCACGACCGCGCACCTAGCCGGGAGCAGCTCCACAGCAGGGACCGGAGCCGGGGCCGCAGTCTGGAGCGAGGTCTGGACCACGACAGCGGGCGATCCCGGGACCGCAGCCGTGGACGGAGCATCGACTACGAAGGGCCCTATGAGGGGAACTACGACCGGCCCTACAGCCCAGCTGTGGAGCACAGCCGCAGAGCCCAGACCGATGCCCGCTATGAAGGGTACCGGAGCCGCAGCCGGGAGCATCTCAACTCTCGCAGCCCCAGCCCGGAGCAGAGGGCACGGCCAGACTCAGATCGGCCCATTGGGGTCCTTCTGACAAAAAGCAAAGCCAGTGAAGGTATGTTTGATGAAAGGTGGTGGTTGTGGACGCGTGTGTGTGCAAAGCACTATTGTAATGATAGCAGCCAACTCTTGCATGTTGTTGTTAAGTGAAGTCAAGTGAGTTCCAATTCATAGCAGCTCTATAAAGGGTTTCCGAAGAGCGACTGGTGGGTTTGAACCACCAACCTTGCAGTTCAAACCGAGTGCTTATCCTATAGCACCACACATTTACATGTCAAGCACTAACCTAAATGCATGAACTCACTTAATCCGTATAGCTACCTTATGAGGAAGTTACTCTTGCATCTTTATTCTACAGACAAGGAAACTGAGGCATAGAAATGAATCACTGACTTACACAAAGCATGTGTACTAGAGGCAGAGCCCGGATCCAGACATTTGGTTTTAAACTACTAAAAACAGTGATTTTTTTTCAAAGCAATATCACAAAGTATCAACACTTACCAGAAAGGCAAGTTCCGGAGCCCACCCAGATGTCTGAATCAGAAACCCTGGGATAGACCCCAGCCAGTCTGCCTGCCAAGCAAGAAACCCTTCTCGTCATCTGGGTACTTTTCAAGTTGGAGAAACCACTTATAAAGAAAAACATTGCAGCTAATTTTTTAAAAACGGAAGTAAAATTCATATTACATACAATTAAACATGTTTTAAGTGTATCATTTCATGGTAGTTAGTGTATTTACAATGTAGTACAGCCACCACCTCTCTCATTTCAAAACTTTTTCATCCCAGAAGAACACTTCAGTATTCCACCCACCCCGCTGCGCACCTCTTACTAGCCACTAATCTGTGCTCTTGTCTCTCTGTAAGATTTTCCCATTCTGGGTATTTCATATAAATGGAATCATATAGTATATGGCCTTTTTCTGTCTGACTTCTTTCACTTAGCATAATGTTTTCGATGTTCATCCAAGTTTTAGTGTCTCTCAGAATGTAATTAACTCCTTTTCATGGTTGAATAATGTTCATGGCTGTAATAATATTCGATCTAATTAAAAAAATTTTTTTTATAATTGTCATTTTGGTGAAAGTGTTCACAGCAAAATAGGTTCCCATTCAACAATTTCTTTACTTATTGTTCAGTGGCATTGGTTGCATTTTTCATATTGTGTCAACATTCTCATTATTTCTGTTTTAGAGTGACTGGTGACCATTTGGTCTCATGTAGATTTTTTTAATTTTTAATTTTAAGGAGTAATAATCTACTGTTTGAGAGAACTAGCTATTTAGCTAAAAGGTGACTTCAGAGGCTAGTTCTGTTCAAGATTTCAAGAGTATCTCAAGGCAGTAGTTTTGGGGAGTCCTCCAGTGTGAATTGGTCTTGTAAGTCTAGATTATTTTGAGAATTTGAAGTTCTGTTCTATATCTGCCTTCCTTTTGACCAGGATCTGTCTACTGTGGCTCCGATCAGAATGACTGGTAGTGGAGCTGGTCACCATCTGTTCTGGTCTCATAGAAGAGGAGGCTGTGGTCCATAGAGACAAATTAGTCCTGTAGACTGGCTCCTTCTCTGAATCTTGGGTTTGCTTCTTTTTCTTTTGCTCCAGACAAGTAGAGACCAATGGTTGTATCTTAGATAATTGCTTGCAGACTTTTCAAACATCAGATGTTACTCACAAACTAGAATGTAAAACATAAAGCTATGTAATCGTGACTGAGTTTCTGCTCTATGCTAAGGACTCTACTGAACAAAATGCTTTCGTCCTTAATCTTTCTGTACAAGAATCCTGTGAAAATAGGAGCCTTCTTTCCTGTGCTGTAGATCAGAAATACCAAAATACAGTGAGGTTTTAGGTATGCCCGTGGCTGAGGTCGGCTCTGGCCCAGTGTGCCCTTCTTACATTGCATTCTTGGAGCACTTGTACACACTTAACCACATCAAAGATTCACTAGCCCCATGTGGTATTTACAGAAACTAGTAATCCCACAGTTTACAGGTGACGGTTCTAAAGCAGAGAGAAAGTGACTTCTCTAAACTTTGAAGCTTTAAATAAGTGGTAGAGAGCTAGAACTCAAATTCCATCTCCTGGACTCTGATAGAAAACAAGGATTTTGAGCCCAGTGTAGAGATATCCTTAGCATCAAGTTGTTTTTTTTTTAACTTTCTGTTGTAATTGAGTGAAGATTTACAGAGCAGATCAACAGTCCCACATTCAACAAATCGTAGACTTCATGTCATTAAAATGACTGTAATCTCTTCCATGTGCCATCATTAACAGTATTTACCTCTAGTCACTTTAGTTCTTGCACTCCTAGCATCAATTCTTGTCTTCTTACTTTAAAAGTTCCGTGATGTAACATACCTTTTGTCTCCTTTGGTTCTCTAATCGTTCTCTTTCTATGCAGCAGAATAAAATGAAGAGCAGCTGATAATGCAAAGTGACAGAGTTCTTACCTTTTAGGCTTGGAATTTGTATCTTACTTCGTCTATCAGATGAGAGGGCTTGGTTTGTTTTATTTAAAGGAGCTTGAAGAAGACTTGAGTTATATAACTAGATGTCTGTTGAAATAGTAGAAAAATAATGCAGGGATGTGGTATACATGAAGTTCAGTCTCAGAAAATCAGGGTGAAAGTTAAGATTGTATTTTCTTTGAGGAGTATTCATCCTAGGAGGTTTAAGGATTTCAATAAATGATTATATCCATTTATAGTTACATACAAGTAAAAAAGTATGATTCCAGTTAATACATGCATGCATACATGCATGTATTAAAATGTCTCTGCAACCAGTGGGTGGCTGTAAACAAGTTCTCTCAGTAATATACTTGTTATAGTCTCAATAGAGTGCCTTCAGACAAAAGAGGACTTTTTGTGCCACGGAAAAACCACAATTTTGCGGTCAAAACTGATGTCAAATTTTTAACAAAACTCAAGTGGACATCTTCCTGAATCATTGGAGCTTTGCAACTGGTTTACAGGAATGTTGTCCCATATAAAACAACCGCTTTTAGATGGATCAAGCACTTTAAGGAAGATGGGAAGTCCTCAAAGATAAACCAAGAGAAGGTAGACGTCAGCCTCATGGAATGAAGAAACTATGACTGATGGCCAGAAACTGGCAGAAGACCATAGTATTACTACTGATGAGACAGCTACTAAAGTTGGGATCTTATATGGTTCAGTATTTTCAATCTTAAGTGAATATCTTAGACTCAGCTAGCTTGGTAAAATGGAGGGTCAGTGAAAAAGAGGAAGACCCCCCCCAACAAGATGGATTGGCACAGTGGCGGCAGCAGTGGGCTCACACGTGTCAACAATTGTGAAGATGCCACAAGACTGAACAGTGTTTTATTCTGTTGTGCGGAGGGTTGTTATGAGTTGGAACCAAGTTGAAAGCACATAACAACAATAACAATTCTAGGCCATGAGGCTGCTGGAGTAATAGGGGTTGTCACTCATAAAAGTGATGTGGTTTTACTCTTATTCATCTTCCTAAATTAGGATAGGGAAAAACTCAAACACTTTTGATCATTGTGGAAGGATCTGGTGCTGACAAACTTACTGTAAGCCATTTGAAACTTAAAAAAAAAAAAAACAAAACTATTTCATGTTGTGTTACATGCCATAGAGTCTGTTTCAACTCACAGTGACCCCACACGACAGAGTAGAACTGCCCCATAGAACCTTATAGTTTGTAATCCTTACAGATCACCAAGTCTTTCTCCCATGGAGTTAATGAATGGGTTCAAACACCCAACCTTTGGATTAACCATTTTACCACTAGGACTCCTTTTTTTTTTTCATCATTCTGGGCCTTCCTCTTTTTTTTTTAAATTATGAATTGAGTGAAGGTTTACAGAGCAGATCATTCATTTTACATTCAACAAATCAAGCACTTGGTTGCATCACAATGATTGCAATCCCCTCCATGCAACAATACTTGCACTAGGACTCCTTTGATCTACTTTTTAACTATCCTAAATTATAGACAGTTATTTTCTTTCATAAGATTTTCAGTCAGAATAATAATTTAAAAATTTTTTTGAATTTGCCAGTTTTAAAGCCTGCTAAGTTGGTACTCCTCAGAAACCCTATACAGGGTTGCTATGGGTCGGAACCAACTCAACAGCACTCCACACAACAACAACAACAACAAGTTGGTAGAGTAGTGGTTTTGAGTTGGCTGTAAACCTCAAGGTCAACAGTTAGAATCTACTTGCCTCTCCGTGAGAGAAAGATGAAGTTTTCTGCTCCTGTAAAGATTTGCAGTATTGGAAAACCCTACATGGGGTCACTATGAGTCAGAGCCAACTCCACGGCACACAACCATCACCACCACCAAGTTGGGGGAGCTGTCTAAAATAACCCAAACTCAACCTTAAAATGTCTATATTACAGGTTTAATAAGGAAAATTTGGATCGTCTGAACAGCATTTAAAATACACTTACGTATGTGTTCCTAGGAAATAACAGTGGTTTTTTTTGTTTGTTTTCCTTTTGTGATAGCAATTCAAAGTTTATAAAGCTCCATACTTTCCTAGTTTTAATGTTGATTGCTTTGCCTGATTGATTTACCCTTTTCTTGACAATGAATTTTTTGACATGCCAAACCCCCCACATAAGCTAAGTTATTACAAAGAACATGCTTTACGCAGTGCCCTCCCGCAGATGACTTCATTACAATTCTGCTTCAGCAGGATGGGTCTGTGCCTATTGAGTTGTGCTGAATTATTTCTTGGCCAACATTTCATTTTGAAAATGGTAATTTTATAGCAAATACCCATATAACTTTCACCTAATTTTATCAGTTGTTAACATTGCTTTAGTTCTCCTTCCCTATCCCCGCCGCCTTTTTTCCTTCTTTTCCTTTCCATTTATGCACACATATAAACATTCACTGTAAGAGAGGCACTGGACTAGTTGTCGGTTCAAATCCATCAGTCGCTTCTTGGAAATTATATACAGGATCATTATGAGTCAGAACCGACTTGATAATACTTAATAACAACAACAGTATACACACACACACACACACACACACACGTAATTTTAATGCTTTTTCTGAATCACTTGAAAGTAAGTTGTAGGTGTCTCCCAAATATCAGATCGTATGCCTACATATCTGTAGTGTCACTTCAGCGCTTCAGAAAATCAACATTAAAATCCCTTTAATATTGGAGAACTGGTGCGGTAATGTAGGATAAGCAGTAGACTCCAAGTTCAGTTTGAACTGCAAACTCACCAGCCATTCCTCAGAAACCCTATACAGGGTTACTATGAGTCAGAACCAACTCAATGGCACTTAACAACAATATCCCTTTACATAGTACAGTCTTGGTGTGGCACTGTAGGTTAAGCAGTGGACTGCTAACCACAAGGTCAGTGGTTCAGACCCACTAGCTGCTTATCAGAAACCCTATGTAGAGTCTCTGTGAGTCAGAATTGACTTCACGGCACTCAAACAACAACAACAACAGCAACAACAACAGCCCATCTTTTGGTTCCTGAGGCACAGATGGGTGAGTGCTTAACCATTAACTGAAAACCTAGCGTTTTGAACCCAACCAGAGGCACCTCAGAAGCCAGGCTAAGTGATCTGCTTCCAAAGCTATGTGGAGCAGTTCTACGCTGCGTACGAGGGATGCTAGGAGTTCGAATCCACTTAATGTCAACAAGAGTAACCACAGTCACTTTTGAAATTCTCACCAGAGCCCCTGCTTTGGGTCAAAGATCCTATGAAGGCTCATGCCTTATAGGATTTGGATTTCCTTGTTTTAATTTTACTGTGGTAAAAAATGTGCTGTTTGCCATGGTTTTTAAGTGTATAATGCAGTGACGTTAATTCACATGTTGTTCAGCCATTACCAGTTACCCATTTCCTAAAGATTTTCATCATCACAAACAGAAACTTGGAGTTCCTTTAGCCATATTTCCCACTCCTCCTTTCTCAAAGTCCCTGACAAACAGTGATCAACTTTGGCCTCTCTGCATTTTTTGATATAAGTGGGTTTATACAATATTTGTCCTTTTATATCTGGCTTATTTATTTCCTTAGCCAATATTTTCAAGGTTCATCAGGTGCCATCAAGTCAGAATCGACTCATAGCGACCCCATGCACAGCAGAACGAAACAATGTCCGATCCTGGGCCAACCTCACTACCGCCACCACACTCAGTGCCATCAATGATGCCACCTGGCCGATCCATCTCGTTGGGGGTCTTCCTCTTTTTCTCTGACCCTCCATCTTACCCAGCATGACATCCTTTTCCAGCAACTGTTCCCTCCTTACAATATGTCCAAAGTATGAGAGACGAAGCTTAGCCATCCTGGCCTCCAAGGAGCATTCTGGCAGCACTTCTTCCAAAACATTTTCAAGGTTGATCCATGCCATAGGACATATGAAAGGAACTTCCAAAGTTTGTAGGAAAATTCCATTACCTTTGAATTCCTTTTTCCCATGAACTTTTTGAAGCTCCCCCACCCCCCTTCATTTCCTGTTGTGTTTGGTCTCTATGTCTCTTAATCTAGACAATGCCTCTGCTTCTTTTTGGTGTTCATGACATTGAGTTTTTTGTTTTGTTTTGTTAGAAATTGACTGAAACTTATTGGATATGCAATTTGCAAATTAGAATAACATTTCCACTGTTGTTGTTAGAATCAAGTCAATTCCAACTCATAGCGACCTTATATAGGGTTTCCAAAGAGTGGCTGGTGAGCTCGAACCACCAACCTTGCAATTCAAACTGACCTTGCAGAATCAGTGCCATACCAGGACTCCACATTTCCCCTAGAGTCAAAAATTGTTCTTCATGATATTGATTTAAAAGATTCATGGCAAGTAGTCTTGTAGAATATCCCACATATAAAATTGATTTATCTTAAGTATTGTAAAATAATATTAAGAACCGGACTAAATTTTCTGACTAAGTCTGTGGTATGTATGTAATTTATGTGTTTGTGTGTCTTCTAGAGTATGGTCTCCGGCTTGGGAGTCAGATCTTCATAAAGGAAATGACCAGAACGGGTCTAGCCACTAAAGATGGCCACCTTCATGAAGGGGACATCATCCTCAAGGTAAGCAGATGAAAGTGGAGAGCAGTCACATTCATTCTTGTCTTCATGGTATGGGTTTTCACATCCAAGTGCCAACACAGTGAAGCACTGTTGGGACCGCACTCTATTGGGTCACAGGACTAAAAGAGTAACATCATTAACTGATATTTTTGGGTGTGATAAGTACACATATGCACATATATGATGGTAAGTCAAGTATTGATTGCTTTTAGGGTTTCAGTACATGCCTGGGTTTAATCCAAACAAAACATGTTTAAACATATGTCTCTGAATGGTAGATGGCTGTAGACAAGTTCTCTCTGTAATACGCTTGTCTTAGTCTTGGTGGTGGTGTGCCATCGAGTTGGTACCAACTCACAGAGACCCTGTAGGTCCATCAAAACTGGATTCGAAGGGGATCTGCTGGGCCAGTTAATTTCAAGGCAGAGTGGTCAGCTCAGAAGGTTATGGTGGCTGTTTTGGGATCCCAAAGTGGTAATCTTGGTAGATTTTCTCTAGAACACAGGCTGAACATGGGGGCTTATTAGGAAGAAGTTTTAAAGAAAATTGAAAGCTGCATTGGCGAGACGAAGATCAGAAAAGTTGCACTGAGGAATTTGTTGGCATTGTGAGAGAACACCTGCTTCAAAGGCAGCAAGGGCTGTCTTATGAGAATTTCATTGGGAAACCTAAGCTTAGCTACCCTACAGCTCTGATTATGCTTATCCAGACTTATATTCCCCAAACTCAAAGAACATTTAAAAGGAACACAGTTAGAGTCCTTCAAGGATGCCCAAACTGCCGATGTAATGCAGTGTCAATGAAAGAGTACAAAATTCTTTAAGGAAAGTTCAGAGACATGGATTTCTGCTTTCAGAAATGTATAGGCCTTGACTGAGGATATGTTGAGTAACAACAGCTTCACATTTTGATCTTTTTGTTAAATAAAGGTTTCTATGATTTTGTAGCAGTACTTTTTGACTTACTCTCATGTGTGTATGTGTGTGTGTGTTTAAAACAAAATATTTGCTGAATCAGCCAGTTTTACATGCACAATTCAGTGATGTTATGTTCACATGAGATGATTTATATCGTTGAACAAAAAACAGATTTTGAGATTTGTAGTAGTTTACTGTCAAGGTTTTTTTGTAAACCTGAACTACTGCTTTCTTCTCTCTGTTTTTTTAAATGTAAGCTCCTAGAATAAGAAAAGTTAATAAGTAGAGTTGGTAGCATTATTGATGCTGACTATTTAATAGTTTTTATAAATCTCGTTGGCCAGGAAATACATTCCAATAGTAAAGCAAACCATCTTCTCAAGCTTGGAAGTTAAATAAATTAGCAGAGTAATTTAAGTACACTGTAGCTCTTTCATCTGGATCACAGATCCAGATATGCTGGATTGTATTTAATTTAAAGGATACTTAATTTTTAATCAGGCATTCCAAACAAGTCCATGTCTGTTAGAATATTTGAGTAGAGCCCTTACATTTCTAGCATGGCAACTAGGAATTTTCTGCTTTGTTGAATGATTAAATTGTATGTACTTTTGGGAAGCAGTCTGTCTAGTTCATTCCACCTTAACGTGACTTGAGTAGAACTACTCAATAGAAAAGATCCATCCATTCTTTCTCCCTCAGAACTGCTGGTTGGCTTCAACCACCAACCTTTCAGTGAAAGCTGAGTGCTTAACCTTTGTACTATCAGCGTTCCTTGCATGTAACATTACTATTTTTTCATAAACACAGATCAATGGAACTGTCACTGAGAACATGTCTTTAACGGATGCTCGAAAACTGATAGAAAAGTCCAGAGGAAAACTCCAGCTGGTGGTACTGAGAGACAGCAAGCAGACCCTTATCAACATCCCATCATTAAACGACAGTGATTCAGAGATAGAAGGTAATGAGGATGTTGTGAGCTTAGCCAGAAAGGTTGTTACGTTCTGTTTTCTCGTAGCCATTTAACTGGAAATTTAGTTTCCAACAAAATCCTCCATTGAATTTAGTGTGATTTATTTTGCTGTTGTGGAGAATATACACATCAAACTTACACAATTCAACTGTTCATGTACTATTGGTTACATTGTTCAGTACACAACCATTGTCACCCTCCTTTATTGAGTTGATCCTTCTTCATTATTGTTACTGAACTCACTGCCCCCTAAGGTTCCTGTCTCATCATTCAAGCTGCTGTTTTCACTTTGATCCCATATGGATAGTTCTTAAAAAGGCAGAATGCTTAAGGCAGACCTTCTTACTAGTTAAGCTAAACTGTTATTTGGTTTTAAGAAGGCTTCAGAGGATGTTTTTGTTTAAGGTTTAAAGATTATCTTGGGTCAATAGTTTGAAGGTTACCTAACTTTCATGGCTCTGGAGAGCTGTAGTCCATGAGGATTTGAAATTCTGTCCTGCGTTTGCCTCTTTTGATCAAGATTCTCCTATTATTGTTGTTGTTGTTGTTAGGTGCCATCGAGTCCTTACCAGACATGATATCCTTCTCCAGCAACTGGTCCCTCCTGACAATATGTCCGAAGTATGAGAGACAAAGTCTGGCCATCCTGGCCTCCAAGGAGCATTCTGGCTGCACTTCTTCCAACACAGATCTGTTGGTTCTTTTGGCAGTCCATGGTACTTTCAATATTCTCCTCCAACACCATAACTCAAAAGCATCAATTGTTCGTTCTTATAGGAGTAAGACTCATATATGCTGGGTTGACGAGGGGTTTTCAGAAAGTGCATGGAAAAATTCTATTGTTTTTTAATTCCATTTCTCCATGAACTTTTTGAGGCCCACTCATATTATTGGTTGGCCGTTGTTTCCTTTTAGCACTTTAAGTAGATCTTAACATTGCCTTCTGGCTTCCAGTGTTTCTGAGGAGAAAACAGCAAGCACTTAACTTTATTGGGGATCTTTTATATGTGACTGTTTGCTTCTGTCTCTCTCCCTTGCTGCTTTCAGGATTCTCTCTTAATCTTGACTTTTTGAGATCCTAACTATGATGTGTTTTGTGTAGATCTCTTTGGGTTTATGCTGCTTGGGGTGTTTTCAGCTTCTTGGATTTGTAGATTCATGTCCTTCATTAGATTGGGGAGATTTTTTTGTCTGAATTTCTTCTAGTATTTCTTCTGTCTCTTTCTCATCTCCTTCTGGAATTTTCATAACACTTATATTAGGTTTCTTGTTATCCCATAATTCCATTGAACTGTGCTCAGCCTTTTGAACCTCTGTTCTTGTTGCTCTTCAGTGTCTGTGATTTTAATTGGTGTCTTGGTGTGGTGCTGTGGGTTAATGCACTGGACTGCAAAGTCTGTTTGAACCTTTGACTGCAGAGATCAGTGGTTCCAGCTCACCAGCCACTCCTAGGTATGAGTCAGAACTGACTTGACAACACTTAACAACAATTCTCTAATTTGCTTATCCTTTCTCCTAACTAATTAAATCTATTGTTAAATTCTCCCATTGTGTTTTTTACTTATTTATTTAATATGTTGGAAATTATTTGGACCATTATTTGGTACTTCCTGGGTGCACTTTCACTCTTCTGTCAAGTTCATTTGGCTGGGTTAATCTTGTGAATTTTATTGAAACGTTGGAATTTTCGTAGGTGTTAAAGTTTCTCAGTTTTCCTCAGTATTTGGTGTTTTTGCCTGCTGTGCTTTCTGTAAATAACTCTTAGGCCTGTAGAGCCTTTGACCTTTGCTTACAGTTCCTCTCTCTGTCTGTTAGTTTCTTCTCCTTCCCTGGCTTAATTAGGATTCAGAAGTTCAGGTCTTGGTTTCCAACTTCCTATTCTCCCCGAAACACCTGAGAACACGTTGTGGCCTGCCAGTCCACCAGGGAACACCACCACCCATGTGACCTATTGTGTACTAATCTCTCTCTCTTGCATAGCGATCCTGTATAGGGTTTCCAAGAAACAGCTGGTAGGTTTCAACCGCTGACCTGTGTGTTTATCAGAGTCCAGTGCTTATCCTACAGCACCACCCTAGGACTCATTTTGCCTACTTACATCCCAGCTGGCATTTATGGCCAACTTCCCTCTGTTTTTGGAGGAGGGAAGTGTTGGTACTCCCCAGCAGGACCAGAGAAAGACCTGTTTTGTTAGTTTGAAAACCCCAGTGGCCCCATGGTGGTTGGGAGATCACTCTCCATTTAGGGACCCTTCTGTAGGACTTTGTATGTGTTCAACTGTTACCAGTTGGAGGAGCGGTTGTCACACTCTGAATGAGCCTTTGCTGCTATCAGAGAAAACTCTAACAAGAAAATATCAACTAAGCATTTACCTTTTTAAATATTTAAAATGCAGTGTGTGCTATCAGAAAAAAAAGCTTCGTTTTAAACATTAGTTTAAAAAGATAAGTGCTTAGTTGATATTTTCTTATCGAAGAGTCTTTTGAAATTAGGTTTCTGATGGGAAACTTGTGGTTTCTGATTTAGGTCACTGGAAGCACATGTTTGTATAAGTGATTTAAAGAACTAACCAGATCATTATACATGCATTAATTGCTGATTCTTGTACTTGTGTGGTTTTTTAAAAAGTAGCTTATAGTATTTACAGTAAAAAGAAAATCATTTGGAGAATAGCCACAATAGGTAGATGCTATAAATAAAAGAATTGGTTTTAATGACTGGATGTAGTGCTCTTTACTGCTTATCAATATAAGTTATAGTTTCTCTTTTGAAAAAAGTTATAGTCATTGCTTGAATGTGCACTTTATACAGGACAGAATATTATCCTTGAAAAGAAAAGAAAACAATCGTACATAGGATAGCTAATAGTTGGAATGTTGTTGTTGGTGGTGTTGTGTGCCGTCGAGTCGATTCCAACCCATAGCGACCCTGTATAGGGTTTCCAGGAAGCAGCTGGTGAGCATGAACCATTGACCTTGCAGTTCAAACGACTTTGCAGTCTGACGCATTAGCCCACAGAGCCACACCAGGACTCCAATAGTTGGAATAGACAACCATTAAGAAATTGATTCCAGTTTATGGCAACCCTGTATAGGGTGTCAGAGACTGTAAATCTCTAGAAGAGGAGCCAGCCTAATCTTTCTCGTGTGGAGTTGGATGGTGGGTGTGAACCACCAACTTTGCATTTAGTAGCCTAGTGCCTAACCCACATTACCACCAGTATTCCTTTGTAAAAATACGGAGTCATGATCATTTTCTTCTTATAATATCTAATCTAATAATGCATTTGTGCAGAAATATTGAGAAAATAGTAAGTTACCATTTTAAAACAAGATTTTGTTTCCTTTTAAAAGAATTGCTTTGTAAATCCTGAAGACTTCATTTAATTTCCAGTATATTAAAAGTCTGATCTGCCAGTCACTAAATCTGTGTTTCCTCTGCTATGAGCTAGTTCAGAAAGCAAAAAGAGCTTGAGAACTAATCGTGAAACCTAGGTGATTTTGATTTGCATCATCTGGTAGGTATCTTGATAGACTTGCAGAATCTCGGCCCACACCAGAGCCACTCATTAGAACAGTCTCACCAGGTGCTCTCAATGCATATGAAAGTTTGAGATGCCCTGGTCTGTTTGGTAAGAATAAATATATACATTTATGACTCAGTCATTGCAGTGTGACTCTTCAATAGCAACATTGATAAAAACATAAAATTCATGCCTTTCCCTTAAAACTATCAAACTCTTTCAAGGGAAGAATATTAAACTAACAGAACCTTTACTGTCTGTCTCTCCCATTTTCCTTGTTTTCTTCCCAGAGAACAGTATAATTTCTGTTGAAATTTTATGTAATTTTTTTAAAAAGTGTTCTTATTTTTAAAACCAGATATTTCCGAAATAGAGTCAAACCGATCATTTTCTCCTGATGAGAGAAGACACCAGTATTCTGATTATGATTATCATTCCTCCAATGAAAAGCTGAAGGAAAGACCAAAGTAAGATGGTGTGCATTTTGCATTCCACACTTCATTGTCAGTGTGCATACATACATATTTGGAAATCTTTCACATTATAAGATTCTGACATGATGTTTGCTTAAGTTCAAGAGAGGACACATCGGGCAGATTGTCCAGGATGGGAGCCACGCCCACTCCATTTAAGTCCACGGGTGATATTGCAGCTCCGGTTGTCACAGAAACCAATAAGGAACCCAGACACCAAGAGGAACCACCAGGTACAGGCTTTATCCTGCTCATTTTCAACAAGCGTCTTTAGAGTAGTAGGTTGATCATTCCAAGGGTGGCTGGAACAAGAGAGAGAGAACTGATTTTAAGTGATTCTCATATGTGAAAGAGGCCCCTCTTTTCTCACTTTTATTGGTGAGAAAATAAAGATTGTACTAGCTCTTTCTGTCTTTAAGCAGACTTGGTTGTGTTGGTAATATTTTGCCACATGTGATTAGTTGAGGTCCCTTTTATCTCTTATCCTTGATTCCAACCCTGTTCCCTTAACCCTATACCTTCCCTATAGTTATTATGATTTTGCATAAACAAATACTGATCCATGGGAAATCATACTCTTATGTGGTTTTTAAGTTATAAATATGCTACCATCTTATACATAGAATTACACTCCTGAATTATGGATTTTTCTCTTATTCGGAAAAACTGTTGTTGTTGTTATGTGCCGTGGAGTCAGTTCCAACTCATAGTGACCCTGTACAGGGTTTCCGAGGCTGTAAATTTTTATGGGAGCAGAATGCCACATCTTTCTCCCGCGGAGCAGCTAGTAGTTTCAAACTGCTAACCTTGAAGTTTGCAGCCCGATTCGTAACCACTATGTTACCAGAGTAGGCACCTGCTAATTTCTCAAAGGAACCCTGGTGCTTGGGTGTCACAATAGTTGAGCATTCAGCTGCTAACTAAAAGGCTGGAGGTTTGAATCCACCTAACTACTTTGTGGGAGAAAAACCTGGTAATCTGTTCCCATAAAGATTATAGCCTAGAAAACACTGTGGGCTAGTTCTCTCTTACATAGAGTTTCCTTGAGTCAAAAATTCACTTGATAACACCTAACAACAACAATGCCTCAAAATTAAACTTTACCTTACAGCCTTATTTTTGTTGTTTGACATGATGGCATATGTAGCGTAGGGTACAGATGTCAATTTTTCTGCATGTATTTTGTGATCTTTATATGAAAAACAAAGTAGCAAACCCCCCTTAGTCCAGTGTGATACCTAGAGGTGTTGTTTAATCTTAATCCACAGCTCCTCAGCCAAAAGCAGCCCCAAGAACATTTCTTCGTCCTCGTCCCGAAGATGAAGCAATATACGGGTATGTATGCTAGTCTTTCTCTTCCCATCTTTTTTTTTTTTCTTCTTCTTCTTTTTTTTCCTTCCTTCCACATAGCTTTCTCTCTTTAGCCAAAGTCCAGAAAAATAGTGTTTTTTTTTTTAACATACAGAAGATGTATTTATAATCAATCAGTTATCTTTAATCACCCTGTTACTGGTTGCTTATGAGTAAGAAAAATTATTTGTAGGACAAGTGGAATACAACCATAGGTAAGCATTTATTTAGTCTGCTGGTCTCCCTATCTGGCTACTTTTCCCGAAAGTTACTCGGAAAATTTTTGTTGGCCACATCAATCACGTCTAGATAGGTGAAGTGTTGCTAAACTTTGGTGTTTGTTTAGGTGTGATATGTTTGTGGGGTGGGGGACGGAAGAGACACTGCCCTGTACTTGGCTAATAAGGACCCATAGTTAAGTAGCATTCAAGAGCAGCCCCCTCCAGGATTAGGGTCCAGCTTGCCCGCACCTAGGCTGTGTGTCTCCATTGGACAAGAGCCCTATGGTACCACCACAGGATTTCCTTTGAAAGAATCCTCAACTAGATGTCAAGTGATGTCAATTTTAACCCTAGCTCTACCTTTTATTTGCTTGATTATCCTGAGTAAGCTTTTGTAAACATTTTGTCATTGTATGGTTTTACCAGTAACCAGGCCTGCTACTGCAAAACCCACCAAAGTTGGACCCTGTATAAGGCAGAAACCTATTCAGAGAAGGAAAAGTCAAATATTTTGTATTAAATAGAGAGTGATAGAAAAATGGTGACCAGTCCCTGTCAAAGGTGTAAAGCTTGTCATGTCAGACCCAGAAAAAAAAAAAAAAAAAAAGGCAGTTCCATTGAGTTCTGGCTCCCACAGGCTACAGTACAGCATTTTCACAGTCCCAAGGAAGGTAAAACCATGAGAAAAATGAGGCTGAGCTTTGTATAGAAAAACAAAATGGTAACTTTTGTGTATTAAGTTTGGTGCCCGTTTCAAAAACTACCTTGTTTTTCCTTTCTGAAACGGAACATGTCAGTCCTGATACCAAGATGGTAAGGTTCAAGAAGGGAGACAGCGTGGGCCTCCGGTTGGCTGGTGGCAATGACGTTGGGATATTTGTCGCTGGCATTCAAGAGGGAACCTCAGCAGAACAGGAAGGCCTTCAAGAAGGAGACCAGATTCTGAAGGTAAGAAACACCCACCCTTGTTCCTAGAAGTTACTTGAGACGTCTGTTGGGCTTTTGGATTTGAGAGAGGATAATGGGAGGAGGTCCTGCTGGGGACAACAGCAGCTGCAGCTCTGTGATGCTGAGCGGTGAGGTCTGTCTCTCCCACATGGGTCCTGTCTGCTCATCCCTGTGTCTGGGAATTAACCGTTAAGATCCTTGCAAGGAGTCCCTGGGTGGTGCAGATGGTTAATGTGGTCGGTTGCTAAATTAAAGATCTAGAGGTTCAAGTGCACTCAGAGGCACCTCCAAAGAAAGGCCGTGGTGATCTGCGACTGAAAAAGCATCCCTGGAAAGCCCTATGGTGTACAATTCTACTCCGACGCACCTGTGGTCACCATGAGTCAGAGTCAATTCGGCAGCAACTGGTAAAGACTGTCACAGAAGTTTTTATTTGTTTAATTTAAACAAAACAATGAGATTATAACTAAGGAGAAAGATCTTTTTAAAAAATCTTGCTTTCCTTGGGTTTTTCATCTTTACCCTAAATCTGGTGTGCTGTAATACAACAAAAGTGGGTGTTGGCATCCGACCCTCCGATTTGAATTTAGTTCCAGGGTCTTATTCTGTGGTCTCAGCTAAACCTTGGAGACTCAGGTTTCTGTATCTTTCTGTGGGGATAAGAATACTTGCCTTCCAGGGACCCCTGAAAGATGAAAATACATAACATCAACAAGTTTTGGAACAGAGTGGGAATGCAGACATTTTTTTTCCTGATTGGACAACAGCAAAGAGTTACTACTTAAATCTGTTGTTGACACCTAAAATTGTCCAGGGAAGGTATTTCTTGTTAACCGAATATGGATACTTTAATGTTGTACAAGGGGACCTCAGAAAGTTCATGGGAATATCCCATTATCTTTTAATCTGCTTTTCCATGAATATTTTAAATCTCCTCATACTTATAAAATCTGTGGTGCTGTAGGATAAGCACTAGATCACATTGAGTTATTTGAACTGCAAGGTTAGTTTGAACTGCAAGGTCAGTAGTTCACACTCACCAGCCACTTCTCAGGAACCCTACAGTATGGGGTCGCTATGAATCAGAACCCACTCGACGGCATTTAACACCAAAATCAACAACAATTGCTTGTAAAGAATTTTAAAAATGGTCACTCTGCTTTGGCATTTTATGGTGGACATAGAATGTACTTAATTTGACTTTAGAATTTAATGTCAGGAATTTCCAAGTACCTCATGACTACAAAGATGGGAATGTTGGACAACTGTCTCCATTTGGTCTTTTGCTTTATAAGCTTGAAGTTCTTATATATGATTCTTTTTTCTTCTTGTTAACATTAATGGACAATTCATAGGTAATAAAATTGGTGATTTCTGAAGAGCTAAGATAGAGCCTAGGGGAGAAAAGCTCAAGGAAGCAAGTGGTGGTGGTTATGCGCCGTGGAGTTGGAATCGACTCATAGCGCAAGTAGCAACATACAAAACCAGATGGTCCTTTTTCTTTTTGGCTCATGGCCCTGCTCCGGTAGTTCAGATTTCAGTTCTGAAGCAGGTGAAGGATAAACCTTGATCAGGAGCTTTGCTAAAGCTTTCCAGTGAAATCCTAGACTCTGCTTGACTGAGCAAGCCTCATGGACCACAAGATCCCAGAAAGCACCTCTCACATGCAGACAAAAATCCCATCCAAGTGCCAACTCATCCCAGTGTACGCTTGTGCTAATGCTGAAGAGTAAAAAGTGTATTTCCAAACCAGTATGGGGCTGTAGAGTTGCTGGGAGGTGCAAGTGATTAATGTGCTCAGTTACTAATTGAAAGGTTAGCAATTCAAACCCACCCCGAGGCTCCTTGGAAGACATGCCTGGGGATCTCCATTTGGAAGAGTACAGCCTTGAACACCCAATGGAGCAGTTCTTTTTTGCACATGTGGGTTCATTATGAGTCAGAATTGACTCGGAACCTAACAACAACCATAGCATGGGGCTTGAAAGTCCCCGGGTGGTACAAGGAGTTCTCGGGCTGGACTCCTAGCCAAAAGGTTGGAGGCTCAAGTCCACCAAGAGGTGTTACGGAAGAAAGACCTGGCAGTACTTTGGAAAAACCAGCTATTGAAAACCCTATGAAATACAGTTATATTCTGATTCACATGGGCTCACCATGAGTTGAGGCCAACTGAATAGCAACTTTGTGTTCTTTTTTTGTTATTTGTTTTTTAATGGGGGTAGGGGTGTTGGGAGGGGTGTGGCCCTGTAGGATAAGCACTCTCAAAGGCCATTTGAACCTCAAGGTCAGTGGTTCAAACTCAGCAGCCGCTCCTTGGAAACCCTCTACAAGGTCGCTATGAGGTGAAACCAACTTGATGGCACTTAGCAACAACGGAGAGATGGTGCCCTGGGTTAGACATTGCGCTGTTAACCACAAGGGTTGGCGATCCAAATCCACTATCTGCTCGTGGGAGAAAGATGAAGACTGTCTGTTCCCATAAAGATTTACAGTCTTGGCAACCCTATATACGATTGCTGTGAGTTGGAATTAACTCAATGGCAGTGGCCTGAGTAGAGATATTAGGATGTTAGCTAGAAATTTGGAAGCTTTTGCTTCTGAAAGTTTGAGGATAAAATGTTTTTATACTGTATGGGGAAAAAAATTTATGAATTCACATGAAGAAAGGTAGTGAATTCACCTAGGACTTGACAGTTGGCCCTCTCTAAAATTGTAGTTCAACTCAGGGAGAGTCATTTCAGTGGGTACAAAGTGATAACGCTCAACATTTATAGTCAAGAGAGTGGTCTCCTATTACCACCCTGGCTGGTGTAAATGACTAATGCACTCGGCTACTAATTGAAAAGTTGGAGGTTCAAGTCTACAGAGAGGTGCTTTGGAAGAACCCAAACCCAAATCCTCTGCCATTGAGTCAGTTCCGACTCATAGTGACTTTGTGTAGGTTTTCCAAGGCTGCAAATCTTGATGGGAGCAGAAGCCCTCCTTTTTCTCCCCAGGAGTTACTGGTGGATTCAGACTGCTGGCCTTGTGGAAGCAGCCCACCACCATGCCGTGGTCTGGCCATGTGCTTCCAAAAACTCAAGCCCTGGAAGAGACCTACTGGATCATAGCTCTACTCTGGCACACCTGAGATTGCCATGAATGAGTCCATGGCCACTTATTCTATCACCCTGGCAATAAGGAAGCAAGGCGGAAAACTGGCTTCTTTTGCAGTAATCTCATGTGGAGGCCAGGTAGTCGATGGTCCTTATTCTTTGGCATGATTCAATTTTCTCTTGATTACAAAAGGAGTCCTTAATTCTATTGTTGTTGTTGTGAAGTGCCGTTGAGTCGGTTCCGACCCATAGCCATCCTGTATAGGGTTTCTGAGGAGCAGCTCGTTTGAACCTTGCAGTTCAAATGGCTTTACAGTCTGGCGCATTAACCCACAGCACCACACCAGGACTCCCTTAATTCTATAAAGGGGTGAAAAAGATTTGAGTTTGCCTCCCAAGACAGAGAAGCTGCTATACGATCATAAGCTGCAGGTGATACAGAAATCCTCTTCAGACTCATGGCAGGCACAGCTATACTCTG